CGGGGGGGGGGGGGGGGGGGGGGCTTCACTTTCCTGAAGTGAGGGGCTGGATTCATTTCCCCACCTTAGCTGTCTATCAGCTGTACCAGTTTTTTTTTTCTGAGCCTGAGACTCACAAGGAAAATCTCATCTTCCTCGGAGAATGATCCCTGGAGGTTAACAGACTGTCTCCAGAGGAAGATCTTGCTAAGGCAGGTGGCAGGTGTGTATGTGCACTGACAACAAAGGACACCTTGTGCCTCAGCTGGCAGAAATGTGTCCTAAGCCCATCCTGTCCCCAGCTGGAAAAGGCCTGTGCAGCCCCTGGGTGCTCATTAATTGAAGGATTAAATACACCTTGAGGACAAGGCACTGCTTCCACATCCATCACCAGTTCCCATTTGGACTAATTACTGTTGCATTACCAAGCACTGGAGCTTGCAAAAAGCAAGAAGCAGCAAAACCCTCAGTAACAGAAACTGGAGGGCCTGAGATGCTATAAATAAAAGGATTTTTACAGCAGTGATTAATAAAAGCCAATCCAATGACAAAGAAAACACCCACTGTGGCTGCAGCCCTTGAGGATAAACACTGAGCACTCAAGCATGGGAGGCTTTGGCCTGGCTTTGGAAGAGGATCCCTTGCCCTGCTGAGATGTTAAAATATTTAAGCTGAGGAGATCTCTCCTCCTGACCTGTGGCCTGTGCTCCTCCTCCTCTGGCTCCTGTGTCCACGCCCTCTCGGCCCGGTGCCTCCGTGGGTAATAGTGAGCATCTCTGCCTACATTGGAGAACATGTGGATATTCCCTGCAAAAGAAACCAGGACAGACTCATGTTTCACCCAGCTGCTGGTACTCACCTGCACTCCTCAGTTCCTACTGAATCATCCAGGTTTATACTCCACAGCCTGAATTACAGCTGGGAGATCACAGAGTAAAAAGCACAAACCACCTCAGAATTAAACACCACCACGACGTTATTCCAAAAAGCCTACCAGAGAAATTGTAGTGTGCTCCAATCCATCTTAATTTAAATCAAGCTGCAGAAACATGTTCTGATTTTTATGATTGTATCTCATATTTTAATGCTGTTCTTGTCACACTCACTTGCAAGGCTGTGGCAGGAAAATGAATTTGCTTCACCAGGCTCGGGCTGTGAATTATGGTCTCCCATAATTACTGAATGCGGTCTTCTACCCTCATTTCCAATTCCTCTGCCTTCAAGCCATTAATAGTTTCACTTAATTATTTTATAATAAAGAAAGAGTTTTTAAAAAGAGTAAAAAAAGAACAATTCAGGATTTTCTTTCCTGCACACAGAATGCAGTTGATTTATTTTCAAAAAATCTAAAATGAAGGAAGAATTGCATTTGCTGCTTCAATTTGAAGCTCAGGATCTGATTTTATCACCATATGAATATCTTAATAATAGCTGTGCTTTCCTCTTTTGAAATTCAGAATGTCTTTGTGTTAGAGAATTGAAGTCTGTGGCTTATCATCACAACAGAAATGCAAAACTATTTTTAAGCCCTGGGAAAGATGTCACATTATTTTATACTCTTATCCTGTCCTTTTTTTTTTTTTTGAGTTTCCCAAAGAATTCTGCAAGAAACCTGGGCAAAGGTGACCTCTGCTGTTGTGTCAAAACCTCTGTTCCACTGCTTGTTCAAAGATTTTCCAAGCTCTAGGTATGTGTGCAGTCAGAGCTCCAACAGTGAGCCAAGCCAGGCTGGCTCCAAGGAGGAGTTTCTTTTGGGGAAAAAAAGAAAGTTTATTTCTACCCTTCAACATTGCTCAGATAGGATTTTATCAAGCTGTGAAAAGAAGCAGCCAGTGTGGGCAAAGAAGAATGGCTCTTATAGGGGTGCCCAGAAAAAAGTTTTCCCAAATTTTAAGTTTCTCCAAGAATTCCTGACAGCAGTTTCTTTTGTTCCATGTGCATTTATTTTTTATGAGAAGAAGAACTTGTAGCCTCTCTTCATTACAACTGCAACACTCTGCCACGTGGAGTCTCCTTTGAGTTTAATCACATTTAACATTTTAAATTTAACTATTTTTCCATGGAATATCCATAGAGGAAAACTGCTCAGTTAAAGCAAAGCCATAAACCTGCCCTCAAAAACCCAGTGAGGAAACTCTTGTTTACTACCAACATCCGCTACAACAAAATTGTATTTTTGTTTTCTTTTTGCTGCTTTGCTAAAAATTCCCATTTTCTCCTTCATGCCAGTCTCCCTGATAAACCTGCCTTGCCCAGTAGCCAAACTCCTCCCACAGCTCCTCAATTTCCTGTCCTCAACTCCAAGAATCCCTGTTCCCCACAGGCCCATGCCATGAGGGTGATACCCCACAAAGGGCACATCCAGGTGCAATTCCTTGCACAGGCAGAGATGGAAAGCTTGCATACTCCAGTTGGAATTACACCATGCTGGGGTTGGCTTTGCATATCCACTGGTGCAAGTCTGGGATCTGAGGTTCCCTTAGCTGCAAGATTCACCACTCACAGCAAGGTTCAGGCAGGACTAGTCTGGGTGTCTTCAGGCTGTAGTAACTGGTGTGTACCTCACTTCTTGTGACACCTTGGAGGTGAAAAGTTCCCAGGAGTGCTAAAGCAATTCCTCAGATGCTGCCAGGAAGGCCCTTGAAGTCCTCACACCTTTCAGATTTCCTTTTAATCCACCGATCTTGCAGGATCTGTTTTTCCTACAAATCCAAGCGCCAAGGCTGGGCTGAGACATGCACAGAGCTACTCCAGGTGCAGCTCCACTGCTGTGTCCCTGATCCTGCACATCCCTGGATCCTGGCTCCTCTCCTGGCAGGCAGCACTTGCTGAGCTCCCAGGCTGTCATTTCACTACAGCACAGGCTCCTGCGAGGCACAGGAGCTCCTGCTTCCCCTGAGATGACAGCTCCAGGAGCTGGGCCATCCTGGCCTGGAATGCTGTCAGGTGCCTCAAGTACAACCAGTCATGGAATTGTTCATGCTGGAAAAGACCTCTGAGGTCACTGAGTCCAGCCATCACCAAAATGATCCGTTTGATGATCCATTCCCATTCACACCCTATTTTACCTTCCATACTATTACTGGCTTCAGATGATGGAGGGAATGAAAGAAAGGCAGAAATCAAATGTGAAAAGGTTTCTGCTCTTCTCAGATGTATCACCAACTCCCTGGGCAGTCCCAAGGGAAGCTGAACTTCCTCATGATCCACAGAATCACAGAGTTTGCTGAGCTGGAAGGGACTCCCAGGGATCACCCAGCTCCTGTCCCTGCCCAGATCCCCCAGAAATACCCCCTGGGCATCCCTGACAGCGCTGTCCAAACACTCCTGGAGCTCCAGCAGCCTCGGGGCTGTGCCCATTCCCTGGGGAGCCTGGGCAGTGCCAGCACCCTCTGGGGGAAGGAACTTCTCCCAAAACTGAGCCTGCCCTCGCCCAGCTCCAGCTGTTCCCTCAGGGTTGGTCAGTCCACTGCCCTTTGAAACCACTCAGACAGGTACTGACCTGTAGGGAAGTGCCCACCAAAAAACACATTGAATATTTCTTCTGGTGTGATATCTGCTTCGAATTCTGTGTAGTAACTGTAGTGCCTGGCCTGGCCAGCGCTGGCGTGCTCGTGGTCACTCCCGAGTTCATCGTAGCGGAGCCGTTTCTCAGGGTTGCTCAGAACTGCAAAAGCATTGCCTATTGCTGGAGAGGGAATTAAAACCAGTGTTATATTCCCAGAGCTCACACCCTTCTAAGTGGAGCAGCAAAAAAAGCCCAAAGAAGCCCAGGGAATTTGTGCTTGACCAAAGACTGAGCTACTTTTACAAAAGGCATGTAACAGCTGTGGCATTACCTGTGATGGAAACCACTTCCTGCTGTCACTGATGTTGGGGGAAAGACAAAAGTGTCCAAGTATACAGAGAGACTTGAAATATTTCTAAAACTGACATGAGAGTTCAGCCAAGAAACTGGGTGAGAATAGAGCATTTTATCAGCTCAAGCCAAATGCAAGTTTGGTCTGAGTGCACCTCTATATCCCACATACAATTAATACAAAGTTAATAACTGCAGGGAAGTTATTTAATTAAAATAATAGTTATTTAATTAAATATTATTATTAATTATTATTATTATTAATTAAATTATATTATAATTATTATTAATAGTTATTTAATTAAAATGCACAGGGCCATCCCAGGTTTTTCCTGCTGGCAGAGATGCTCCTGAAGCTGTGTGGCACATCTATTTCACACCTCACATCCAACCACTCAGAAGTGTTTGGCTCATCTTCTTCTTTGATCTTTGACAGAACAAGTTCACAGAGAAATACAACCCAAACACAAATGAATAAAGAGCAGCCCTCCAGAAGCTCCTTGTTTTAACAGACTGTGAATGAATCACTTGCTTTCCTCGTGCTGGGCTGCATGGAAAGGGGAAATATGTATGAGTTTAGACAGTAACACTGCAGCATAACTGAGAACTCCAGACACAGCACACTGGATTCCACTTCATACTCCCATACATAATGATAAAAAATAAAATTTTATTCATGACAAGGAGCAGTTATTGATGACAAACACCCAACCCTCCTGCATGGGCAGTGTCAGTTCCAAGTTCTGAACCTTCTTCAGTACCACAGAATCCCAGAACGGTTTGGGTTGGAAGGAACTATGAACATCACCTCATTCCAATCCCCTGCCATCACCAGGGACAGCTCCCACTTGACGAGGCTGCTCCAAGCCCCATCCAAGTTGTCCTTGGACATTCCCAGGGATTCAAGGGCAGCTTCTCTGGGCACCCTATTCCAGGGCCTCTCCACCCTCACAGGGAACAATTTCTTCCTAATATCCAATCTGTCCCTGCCCTCTGCCGGGGTAGAGGCCATTCCCTGTGTCCTGTCTCTCCAGCTCTTCAGGAGTACCTGGGAATGAGACCTGGGATGCACTTCCCATCGTTTCTAAGGGAGACGGGTATTTTGCAGACAGAAATGCAAACCCTGCCGAGCCGCAGCAGGGCTCTGTGAGGACGCTGCTGTGTCCGGAACCCCGGCCGGCTCCGTGGGCGCCTCTGCCCCTCACGGTGTCCCCCGGGCCCCCTCACCTTTGAAGGCCTCGGTGGCTCCGGGCGCTCGGTTCTTGTCGGGGTGGAACTTGAGGGCCAGCTTGCGGTACGCCCGCTTCAGCTCCTCCTCGCCGGCGTCCCGGCTCACCCCCAGGATCTCGTAATAATCCCGGCACCGCTTGATCCTGAGGGCGCACACGGGGTTAGCCCGGGCCGCCCCGGGCCCGCTCCCCGCCCTTCCCGGGGCTCCACCCCCCGCCTCCCCGCCGCCCCCCGCGCTCCCGCGGGCCCCCCGTTGCCGCTCACCGCCGCACCCCGTCCAGCTGCTCGGCCGTGTAGGTCATGTCGGCCCCTCGCCCCTCGCTCAGCGCCCGCCGCCCCGCGCCGCCATCTTGTGCGCGGGGGCTGCTGGGAGCGGCGCTGGAGGAGCCGTGACGTCACGGAGAAGGGCGGTGACGTCATGAGAGGTTCTGAGGGGAGCGGGAGGTCGTGGGGTCATGGAGTTGTGGAATGTCATGGAATCGTGGAGTGTCCCGAGCAGGAAAAGATCCGCCAGGATCACCCCGTCCAGCTCCTGGCCCTGCCCAGACCCCCCAGCAATCCCCCTGTGCATCCCTGTCCGAACGCTCCTGGAGCTCCGGCAGCCCCGGGGCCGTGCCCATTCCCTGGGGAGCCTCTGGGGGAAGAACCTTTCCCTGCTCTCCATCCCAAACCTCCCCCTGCAGCCGCTCCCTCCTTCCCTGAGCTCTGCCCTCAGCTCCTCTGCTGCAGCTGAACCAGCCCAGTGCCCTCAGCCGCTCCTCGGGTGGTCCCTGCAGACCCTTCCCCAGCCCCGGCTCCCTCCTCTGGGCTCTGCAGCAGTGCCCGTCCCCTGTGCTGGCACTGCTGGGGCCCCTCGAGGGCTGTTCCTGTTCTGGCCCCACGCCACAAGACATTTCCCGGTTGCCTTCATCACTGCTAATGCTCTTGGTGCTTTCCCCTCATTCCACCTGCCAGGGACACCTCCCACCATCCCAGGCTGCTCCAAGCCCTGTCCAGCCTGGCCTTGGGCACTGCCAGGGATCCAGGGATTCTCTGAGCTTCTCTGAGCACCCTGTGCCAGGGCCTCCCACCCTCATTTTAGGACCCTCAAGGGCCTGTGGGAAGAAGGAGGTCAAAAAAAGGAAAACTAAAGCAGTGCTGAGATCCTACGGAATCTCAGAGGTCTGGGGAGATTTGTTAAAGCTTTGCTTTCACTAAAAATCTAGTTGCTGTGCTCCATGTGTGGATTCACAGGTCTTTGGGAACTGGAGCTATCTGGGTCCATCTAATTGGGAATTATCTGGGATTCTTTGTTAAGCAAATTCACCAGTCTGGTGGAGCCTGGGTCAGTGACAACATTTTACTTTTCATAATTGTTACCAGAAAAGCTTCATTTATTAAGAAACAATTTATCAAACTACCCTGTGCAGATGCCAGAGGTTAAAAGTGCATTGGCTCTTACCAGGAGCTTTGAAAATGTTGCATTTTTTATTTGCTGAACATTTCCTTGCCAGCTGCAAAGCACAGCTGCCTCTTGCATTGCACAAGGGGCTGCTGCTCTTCCTGGTCCCAGGAAGCTTTGGGGAAGCTGGAGATGATGGAAGCTCTCCTGGCAAACTTGGGCACGTTCCAGGAGCTGAAGGAACTCAGCAATTTGCTTGTGACCATTCATTTTACACCGAGATAAACCACGATCTAAGCAGGGACTTTGTTCCTTACACTTCAGCCGAGTCCCTGAGCATGTGGGGACATAATGATCTGCCTTCCGGAAGCTCCGTTGTTATTATTATTAATAATAATAATAATAAAGTGTTTAAGATGGCGATTTGCATTTCAGCAGCACCTTTAATTCACGGTTCTCCATGCACTTTACAGACAGATTAACAAGGCCTCACAACAACCCTGTGAGGTAGGTGGATGTGACCATCCCACTGCTGTGGGGACAATGAGAGCACTGGGGATAAGGGGCTTGGAGCAGTCGTGCTGGGATTTGACCTAGAACTTGGGCATTTAAGTCCCATCAGGCCTTCAGCTTTGGATCAGGCTTTCCCAGCTCGCGGGTCTGGCTCGACGTGGGGCTATGCTGATTAACGAGCCTGTGACTGCCTGGCACAGACTATAAAGGCCATTAATCTAAGGCAGAGGTTTATTAGCGGAGTGGATGGTGCTTTGGTGCTTCTTGCTGCTGGAATTATCTGAGTGTTTGAAGGCATATCAAAAATAGAGTTAGATATCAACCACGGAGCGTGGCGGGCTGTAACTGGAGAAAGCCCTCAGGCCCCAGGTGGGGAAGCTATGTAGGACACTACTGCAAATGTACTGATCAGAAAGGACATAATAATTTATATATAAAGTCCACCCTTGCTCTTTCCCCGAAGGGGGAAAAAAAAAAAAAAGAACCTAGAAAGCCACTGCTGGTTGTCACGTGTCAGCTTCGATCTCTGGGCTCTTGGCTTCATAACACCTGCCAAAAGAACAAAACACAGCTCATCAGCGGCATGGTTGGGCTGACAAAGGGAGTAGAGCTATGTGTTCTCCCCAACTCAGTCCCAGCTTTAAAACAGCCAAAAATGATATGAATTCCTCATGTGGAACTGTGGGCACTGATGGGGATGTGCTTCAGCCACCTGTGGGGCAGGAGGGGATAAGCTGGACTGGAGGGTGACACCTCGATTTCTCACACATCTCTTCATTTAATGGCAAACCCCTCCAGCTTTGCAGCTGGCCACAGGTGATGTCACCTGTACACATGAGGTAAACTTGGCACCTCGAGTTCAGCCAGCCCTGTCAAACATGAGATGGGCACACAAACTTTTCACCCAGGCTCATGGAAGCAGTTTGGACCTTTAGAAGTTTGGTGGCAGCTGTTTTTTGTCATATTTTTGAAGGAATATAAAAGAGCAAAGAAATACCTTAAGGCATGCTCTTATCCAGCCAGAGAAATGATCCCCAGCTGATTCCCTAAAAAGCAAGGCTGAAAAGGGAAACCTTTTCTGATGGGGGGTAGCTCATGCTGTTGTTGGTGTTGATGTTCTTCATGGAGATCAGAGTGATGCTGTTCCCCTTCTGGCTCATGTCTGCCGAGCAGCTGCCAAGGAGACAAGGAGATAATTAATTACTCTGGGAAATGAGAGGGAATCACAGAATCACACCGAGGTTGGAAAAGACCTCCAGGGTCATTGAGTCCAACCTTTGAGCAATCACCACCTGGTCAAGCAGACCAGAGCCACATCCAGGTATTCCTCAGACACCTCCAGGGACAAAACCTCTTTGCACAGAGCTGGAGGCAAACAGGCAAGGCCAAGTCTGGTACGGGTGACCAGGTTTGGTTTCCACCACCCACTGAGCTGCTGTCCTGATTCGGGCCCATCCATAGGGCATTACAAGGCTTTGGAAGGTGGAATTCCCTTTTCCTACCCTGAGGGCTGGGATGTGCATTCCTTGCCAGTTTAGGCTGGATGATTTTGGGGATCAGGGAACCTTAGGCACTGTCCTATTTTCAGGCATGTTCTGCCTCAGTGGCTTCAGATCCCTTGGATCATGATTGTTAAGGGTATTTTGTGACCACTGATGCTGATGCAAATTTGGCACCTAAATACTTACAGATTTTGCTCCCTATGTCCCTTGTCCCTTTCCAAAGCAGGGTTTAGGAAACTATCAGATGGAAAAATAGGAGCAATATGTTTTGGTCCCTTCCAGCTCTTGTTTCTTGCTGTTTTCCCACATTCAGCCTCTCCTCTGGAACAGCAGTGAGGGACCATGGGTTTCTGATGGACCATTCTCTGCTTGATGATTCTCTTCTAAAAGTCTCTGAACTGGGGCTCCTTTGTCCTGCCCTCACTGAGAAACAGTAATGGGCATCTTGGGAGATACCTAAGACTGCTTTGAGATCAGAAACTCGAGTTTAGACCTCAAGGCTCTGTCTAGGCAAGGAAGACAATCTGCTTTGGGAAGGTGATGAGTCTTAGTGCGGCTTTGAAATGAACCCCCTAAATACTGATCTTCTATCTATGTCAGAGGATGAGGTGTTCTCAAAGCTGATTTTGCTTTTCTAACTCTTTCAAAGATGTCTTGACAAGCTTCCTTCCACCTGAAATAACCAAAGCAGACTCTTTCCCTTGCTAAAATTAGCTCTGGGATAAAACAGGCACTCTCCATCAGATGTGGGTGGCGTGAGCAGCCTTACCTCTCTGATACCATTGAGGTTCCTGGTTTCTGTTTGTCTGGGGAGAGAAAAGCAGATGGTGAAGTAGAGGTGAGAAGTCATAAAATAAGTCAGCCCTATTCTGAATTACTTCGTGCAGGGATATAAATGAAGCCTGAGTGAGATTTGAGACACTGTGGGGGAAACCTGGGAGCTGATTAGAGAAAATCTTTTGGCTAAGGGGACATAGAGGCAGGACCCGCTGCCCCTGCAGGCTTTAGGAAGGATTCCTTTGGGAAGGATTCTGCCTTGCAGCAGAGCAGCCTTGCCCTCTGCTGGGCACTGCATCGTGGGAAATGGGATTCCTAAGGAAAAGGTGTGTCAAAGTCCACGATTTTTGCTGGAAGAACTGCCCACCTCTTGGAATTTGAGCTGCAGGAAATTTGAGACCACATCCAGATGAGGCTGGGCTGGGGCTCTAGCAAGGAGGTCACACTGCACTCCTGACTGCTCAATCCATGTTCCAGTCTGGCTTCCAAACCTCCCCACCACTGTGTAAGCTTTTCAGATGCATCTTTTAGGAACTGCCAGATCCACATGGAAACTGGTGACTTGTTGATTAGGGAAGCACAGATTCCCCCAGACAAATACCTTCTGAATCCTTGGAATGGTTGCACTTGAACCTCAGGCTGACCACACTGACCAGGATGATGACCACCACTATCAGGATAACAACGAAGCTGATGACACCTGGGGATGGAGGAAAGGAGTGTCTGAGTAGCAGAGAGACTCTGACATCAAAACTTGGCTAGGAAATCAATATTTCCATTAATGTGAGCATGGTTCGTAACAGGCAGAGAAGCAAACATTTGTTAGAACAAATAGCTTTATCCTCCTGTGTTTTAATCTCAAAGGACTTCTATGAATACTTTATCAATAAATAATTAATTGGTAAGGCAGTGCCAGGAAGGCAGAAGTCAGCTGATTACACTGGGGATTGATAAGAGTCCATATGTTCCTGCTACAGTTGGTAAATCTTATCCCAAAAGTGTGTAAAGCCAAATAAATAAGTAGTGTAACAGGGAGAGGCAAGCTAGAGCTGTGGGTGATGTTATCTGTCCCATAAACCACCTTTAGACACTTCAAATCAAGTGTGGATTTGTACTGACATCAGGCCTCAATCAGTCAAACAATTCTTTGCACAGGAAATTTGTCCTGCTAAGATTCCCTTGGATTTATAATCCTGGAATCACGGAATGGTTGGGAGGGACCTTAAAGATCATCTCATTTCACCCCCTGTCTTTCCAGTATCCCAGGCTGCTCCAAGCCCTGTCCAGCCAGGCCTTGGCCACTGCCAGGGATCCAGGGGCAGCCCCAGCTGCTCTGGGCTCCTGTTTGGGTGTCCAAACCATCACGGATTGGTGCAGGAGAGCCCCCTCCTCTCCCCAGTTGGCACAAACCTTACCAAAAGCTGCCACTGTCAGCGGCGATTTCTCGTCTGTCGGGGTGGGCTCAGGCAGTTGGCTGGAGGAGTTGGGTGTTGGGGTGATGTGTCCTGAGGTGCCTACAGAGGGAAGAAAGGCAGATTTATATAAAAGTCATTCTTCCACGGCTAGGAAGAGGATTCCTAGCAATGCTAGAGGCCCTAACTCTCACTTGCACTTCACTAAAGAGACCAAATTTGGATCCTGGCCAGGCCCATCAATCTTAAGAGCAAAGAGAGTGAGACCTGTGTGGAATCATTGCCTTGGTGGGGCCCCTTTTATGGACAAGCTGAGAGCACCCACAGGGTTTCCTCCTGAGACCCCAGTGAGGAAAGGTCAAAGTCAGCGCTGGCACTGCTTTTGAGGAGGGAATTTGTCCTGTCTCCCTCCTTTTACAACCTTTTGCCATAATGGCACCTTTCCTTCTGTTCCCAGGCTTGAGGTTGCCCAGCAGTGCTGTTTCTGCAGAGCTTTACAGGCTTTTCAAGGGCTGGATGGGATGTTCATCACCCCTCAGGAAATCACTGGCGTCCACGCTGCCTTGAAGACAGCCGTGTGATGGCCCTGCTGCTGGCTGTGCACAGGAATATAAAATACGGAGCAGGAATTGCCTCTCTGAGAGGAGGAAGCACCTTGAGTCGCTGCTGTTGTGGTGCTCTCATTCCTCATGGGATCCTGACCTGCACAGAGAGACACAGAATGTGAGTCTTGACCTCCAGTGACATCCGAGAACCAAAGGAATTAATGGAGAGGAGAATGGATTCACAGTAGTGCCGGCGATATCTGGGGAAACATGGAATTAATACTCCCACTTCCATGTTAAAAGCTTCCCACCAAATATACTTTGTACTATTTTCCATGTCCAAATGGAAACCCTAGAGAACCAAAATTCAAGTACCCTTTTGTAAACTCTTTAGGGTCTGCAGTCCCAGGTACAGGTTTGGGGCAAAAACAGCAAGGCAAGGCTGGAAGACTGAGCTGGGAAGGTTATAGATGTGCTGCAGGTCATGAACATTGAGACTTTAAAAGAAGTCTGATTAGGGGAAAAAATATTGCAGACTGTGGGTGTGGATTGAGTGTTTGGCTTGTCCCTGGATTTGAAATGAGTGGATTTGCTATGCTGGGTTATCTAGAAGTACACCATATGTGGTCTGGCTGTGTCAGCACAGAGGTTTGTCCAAGCAAGGACTCCAGTTCTCAGTGGGATAAATTGGCTTGTATGAAGCTGTCTGGTTGGTGACAGCTGCTTCCAGTGCCTGTGCAAGGAAATGTAAAGCCAGCCCCTGTGTTTCACTTGTACAGAGAAAAAACATCCTTTGCTGCCTCCAGGCTGTTGTTGAACAGCCAGAGTGTCTGCATCGACCTTAATGAGCAGCTACAGGCCCTGCCAGGAGACTCAAAGTGATACTTCAGAGCTTCAGAAGATCACCTGTAGGATCTTCCTCCCTGCTTTCCCAGCCCCACATTCCCAGCAGCAGCGCTGGCCAAGGGGCTGTGGTGCCTGGAGAGGGGTGCACAGCTCCTGGCTCTGCCCTGGGGAGCAGCTGAACCCAGTCCTGTCCTGCAGCAAACATCCCTGATTTGGACTGGGATTCTGCCAAAAGCCAGAAGAAGAAGGGGAAAAGGCATGAAATAATAAATCTAGTTGTTTCAGAAGCCACAAGGAGCAGAACCGTCTGGAGAAGCAGGGTCTGCTGCTGTACAATTTTTTTCCCCACTCATCAAATTCTTTGTTTCATTCTGAAGTTGTTCCTCTGGCCACAGGCAGAAGCTGGGGCTTGCTGAGCCTGGCATGGATACACCATCCCCGGGAAATATTTGGTCTCACACAATGGGAGACCCGGCTTTTGGAAGCCTCAGCATTAGTCAGAGATGTGTGGAGCTTCTCAGTGGTAATTCAGGGTTGGAAAGAACAGCAGTGTGCTCTGAGCAAAGGGCTCCTGGCTTAGCTGGGCACAGCCATGCTGGGTGGGCACAGCTTCCTCACCTTGCTTGTGTTAGAGATCTGAGAGGTACTTGGAGAGGCAGAGCAGTTTCTTGACCACTGCAGGTTTTTGAGGCTGAATTTTTAATGGAGAATCAACTCAGTTGTCAGATTTCAGTCTTCCAGTCGCTTGGATTCTGCCCTTATTCTGAGAAAACTCATACTGAAGTCTCTAATTTGTGCTTACAGCTTGAGTTAAACAAACTGTCAAAAGCAAAATTATATTTACTTAAAAAGATTTTAAAAGGGCTCCCCTTTCCTAAACATAGATCCAGTGTTCAGCTGCTCAAGTTCATCCCAGCAGAGGATGTTGAGAGCATTTATCTCGTGTTTTATCACTGCTTATAAAGACACCAGATGTGATTTTGCATGATTCACCCCCCCAAACAGGCTCGTGCTTAGAGAACCTGTGCCACTGATTGCCATCAAATCATCTGGTCCTATTGTTAGTCTAAAAGAACAAAGTACCTTGAGGTGTTGGAGAAGTTGGAGAAGGAGCTGCCGTGCTTCTGTTTCCACCAGACTTATCATCTAGATAAAGAAAACGTGGGAAAGGACAATTAACTGGGGGAGCCACTGCAGATTCCAGCATGGAGAGCTGTTGGGTGTCCATGGAGTAAAAATCTCGATTTGCATGATATTTTCCCTCCAGCCATCCATCAGGATGCCCAGTTAGCCAGCTGTGGAGGCAGCTCAGAGTGTACCTGACAGGTGAGCTTGGGAGAGGGAGCCTGGGGAGGCTGGAGCTGCTCCATTATTTGATAAAGCATGATCTGGATTTTCTGATATGGCCTTGGCCTGGCTGTGTCCATCTGGGGAGCTGGAATGAGCTGCTCTTTCAGCAAAGACTCTGAGAAATTCAATATTTGCAATTCAATAATTGCTGAATAACCAGCACAGTGTGGACTAGCTCAATACTCTGATGCCTGCAGTTTGGCTTGGATAAGGAGGGAGGCACAAACAGGTCCTGCCTGAGCAAATATTTAAGTTTTCCATCCTTACCTCGCTCGGTGGTTGCTGTCAGGGTTGTTGTAGTGGTGGGGGAGGGTTTGGCTGTAGTAGTTTGACCCGCAGAGGTGAGGTTCAGGTTGGTCGGTGGTGTTGATTTTACTGATGGCTCTGTAGGGAAATTGTGGTGTTACTTCAAACAGTTCAGCTCAGAAACAGCTTGGAGAGGGCACAGCTATTGCAGAACCCTCAAATTCCTCGAGAGTTAGGAATAATCTGCTAGGGAAAGCATGGGAATGGCCTTCATCCTGCTCAGAGTCAAGGAGCTCTTGTACTTTGGAATTTCCTTTTGTCTTTTCACTGTGAGGAGATGCTGAGCTGGCAGAGCTCAGCAAACATGTGGGGAAAGTCAGGGTTTGCTGCTGCTTCTTTCCCTGCCCTGAAAAGTGAAGGTGTTTTTGTCACCGGACACTTGAGCTGCCTGGAGCTGCCTGGCACCCCGTGATCATTTCCTTGTGTTCTGAAATGCCAACTTTCACCTTGCATTTCACTGAGAGTCTCTAAGACAAATAATTCAGCTCTTGAAGTGGTCTGGAGGCTCCATCCTCTGCCTCAACCTGCTCCAAACTGCACTCGATCCAGAGCAAGCTGTGAGGGGGAAATCTTTCAATAATCCCTCTGCACAGAAGAGTGGATCACCAGCTGGGAATTTACAGGTGAGTTCCCTGTCTAGACTTGCACCTGGCTTTCCAATAAATTGAGAAAATGATGAAATGGTTTCAAGGTTAGTGTGATGTTTTTTTTTTTTCTCCTTTATCCAAATACTTCACTGAAATATTAGAATTTAGGATTAAGTTTAAGGTTTAGGGTTTTTTTTCTGAAAGGCTTGGAAGCAGCAGAGATCTTTTAGAGATCTTATTCCTTGATATTTTTGGGGTCCTTCTGGAAGGGTAGCTATGCTTAGATTTTTTTGTTTTTTCCTGAAACAGCAGGAAGAGATCTGTCTCCAAAGATCCAAATGGGCACTAGCAGCTGTGGAGCTGGAGAGATCATTTCTTGTGTAATCAGTTTTCTGTACATGTCAAAAATCATAGGAAGGCTTGGGTTGGAAGGGATCTTAAAGATCAGTCAGTTTGGATGGGGCTTGGAGCACCTGTGATAGTGGAAGGAATCTCTGCCATGGCAGGGATGGAATGGGATGAGCTTTAAGGTCTCTTCCAACCCAACCCATTCTGGGATTCCACTCTATGATCTTCTCATTCTCCCTATTCAATCTGAAGATTTCTTTCCCCCCCTGGTTTTGCTCGCACCCATGCCTTGATCCCTGTGGGGCGAGTTGGCTGGATCAGAAGCCCTGACACCACAAAATTTCCTTCCTCCTCACCACTGGCCTCTGCACAGCCCCAGTTACTGTGGGGTGGCCCAGCTGGACTGAGGTCAGAGCAGTTCCCCACTGGGATGTCCTCAAGCCTCTCTCCTCGCTCTCCAGCTGAGCATTACCTGAGCTGTGGTTCTTTGCTTCAGGGCTGGGTGCTGTAGGTTGGGATTGACCTGGAACACAAGCAGAGGCACGGAGGTGACATTTCCAGGCTGGTGGGATCCCACAGGGAGGGTTGGAGAATGGGCCAGAAAGGGGCCATTGAGAGCAGAAAGGGTGAGTGGGACAAGAGATGCCAAGGAGAGGGTTTGTTGCTGGTGTGGCTGTAGGGACCAGCTCCATGGATCCATGTAGGGAACAGCTGGAAAAGCAGGGAGCAAAGGTGAGGCAGGATCCTTCTGCTTTCCCCAGGCTTCCTGGAGCACAGCCTCACTCCCTTCCAGACAAAAGGGAGCCAAGCCAGGTCACCCTCGGGGCCATGTCCCCTGGAGATCTGGGGGTGATGGATGGGGCAGAGGAAGGATCCTGGGAGAGGATCCCTCATCAGGTGCAGGGTCCCACTTGGGGCCTCTCCATTTGCATCCCCCCATTTCCATCTGCACCCACGTCCAAACAGACACATAAAGCACATCACAAGGCAGAGGTACCTGTTCCAGTGGGGCTGGAGGAGTTTGTGGAAGCTGTAGAACCTGAAAGGAAAGAGCAGAGTGTGAGTGGTGCTGATCTGTGGTGGTCACTAACCCACTGCTGCTCTTGTTCCATGTGTGGTTTGCGTTTTCCTCATCTTCTGTTGGAATGATTTTGGAATATGGGATTCCCCCAAAAGCATTAGCAGAGGAGTAGTAGCAAACAAGTTTTACTGAGCACTAAAACTATCAGGCTGAATAAATGAATAGTGGAGTTTATCCAGCCAGGATAAATGTGCTCCTCCCCTTTGGGGGTCATAGAAATCCATGGGCTCATTCCCTCCCCAGCCCTGGCCCAGAAGGGTGTGGGACCTCTGTTCTGGAGCTGTGTAAGATACACATTTGAACACTTTGTTCCCTTGAGACCTTATGGAATGGATGGATGAGGTTTGTAAAGGCTTCCAGGAGATGATGGGACCATTCTCCTTCCTATCCTGTGTATCCCAGGAAACTGAGGCCTGCACTGTGAGGCTGGATGGAGCTGCAGCCCTCAGGATCTGCCTTCCCTGTAGGGCTGGGTAGTCCTGGAGGTCCACACAATGTTGTAGATGTTTCACTGGGCCCCCAGTTCCTCAGCTAAAAGGTGGCTTTGTTTGCTTTATGTGTTTGCTTTTCTTTTGGATTCATGATGATGCATCCCTGTCCCAAACCCCCACATTTCCTACTCTCAGCATCCGTGATGTTTTCCTTGAAGCTCCCGGAGTCACAGAGGAGAGTATTTTGGCTTGGAATGGAACTTTCAATCTCATCTAGTACAGCCCCAAGGGTTAGATGAGATGTCAGTTAAAAATGCTGCCCTTGAAAATGGAAGAAAGAAACGTCCCACACTCGAGGACAAAACCTGGAAAATGTAAATACACTTTAAATGCTCAAATCCTACCTGGCTGGTTTAACTTTGGGAAGGTGACTTTGAGTCTGTCATTGCTGGAATGTACATCCTAATTGGGATTTTAAGATGGTTACTGCTGGTGACCCTGGTGCTCTCCATGGTTAAGTTTAATGAAAGAAATGGCACTACAGGAAGCAGCTGAATCTGACTCCCCTGGTGATCCATCTCACCAGAGTCCCATGGGACAAAAAGGATTTGGGCAAAAGGGACAGCAGGGAAGGTTGAATCCTCCCAGCACACTGTCCCCTCATGGTGCCCCAGGGCTCTGGTGGGAGCAGAGCCTTTGCAGGAGGTGCAGGGGAGGCTCCAGCCAGGCAGCAGCAGCCAGGGCACAACAGTGCCTGTTTGCATCCAGAGCCTGCCCTCCTGCAAGGAAATTCTCCCTGGCAGGGTGGGCAGGCCCTGAGGGTGCCCAGAGCAGCCGGGGCTGCCCCTGGATCCCTGGAAGTGTCTAAGACCAGGCTAAATGGGGCTTGGAGCAGCCTGGGATGGTGAAGGTGTCCCTGCCATGGCAGGGGTGGGATGGGATGAGCTTTAGGGTCCCTCCCAGCCCAAAGCACTGTGTGATTCCAGGATTTGATGCCAGGAGCTGTAGGGGGGCTGAGGGCTCTGGCAGGGAGGGGTGTCTTGAAGGAAAGCCTCAGCACTGATTAGGGGTCTGGCTCAGAGCTCACCCTCAGCACGCTCTGGGTGTAGCAAGTTCCTGATTGATCTCATTTTCCTCGTGGAATTGCTTTGGAGACTTAATTGTTTTTGTGTCTGAGGCTTTATGACAATGATCCCAGCCAGACAGGAAGTGTGTAAACCATGGTGAATACATAATGAAATGTGGTTTATTCCCAGACACAGTTTGGCTGTGAAAATCAGACTGGACTTTTCAGACCTTTTCCATGTTTTTCTCTTCTAATTTACTGGGCAGTAGGCTGGGAAAACTGTCCTGTTCAAACCATGAAAGAGAAGGCAGGATCAGATCTTTAATCATAGAGAGAGGAAGGGACTGGCTGATTTACAGCTCAATTTGGAGCAGGATCAGGAAACAAGGACCTTTATGTGCAGCAAGGAAAAGGGAGGCTGGGAAAGAGGAACCTGCCTTAGCACAGGGATAGCGAGGTGTGGTTGTGTTGAAGAATTTATGGGATATCCTTCCCCGAGGGTTTTGAAGAGCAACTTAAAGGAGCATCAGGGCAGTAAGAGACAAGGGTTATGGGCAGCTGTACCATCACCTACTAAAACAATTAATATCATGGGGAAAAAAGAATGTTTTAGGCACATGTTTGCCCTTCCTAAAGAGGTAGAGAGGATTCTTTTGAGGAAAGGGGATGATTCTGGGCATTGCTTTGCAGATGCCTTAAGATACTCTCTACATTCAGCACAAAAAATAAAGTGCTGAGATCATCATGGGGGGTCAATATCCTCCAGCAGCTGCTTGACTCAAACAGCTCCTCTTTCTCCAAAATTCTCTTGCAGGACCCATTGTCTCATTTTCCTGTGGGGAGAAGTAGCTGTGGCACATTTATGGAAGAGATTTATGGAGCATTTATGGGAATGCTCACAGGTACTTTTTCATGGACATGGTATGTGGAAGCACCCAGAATCACTGGAGAAAGAGCTGCTGTCTTCACTTAGTCTCTGCCAAAGGAAAAGGGGAATGAAGGTGCTGAGCTGGACGTTTATTCCACCATTTTTGGTGCAGATGAGGAGAAATCTGAGAACTTGAACAGAGCCTCTGGGGATGGCAGGAAGCTGAGGGTGAGGGAGGTGACACTGCCATCCCTGATGGGACCATCCAGGGGCCAGCTCCAGGAGGAAATTGTACTCAAAACCTTCTCATCCTGACACCGAGGCTCCCACTGCTCATTGTAAAAAAGATGAAAAAGCAGTTTTCCCCCATTCTCAGTTCCTGAGTTCCTGTGGCTGGGCTGATGCTTGCCCTGCTCTGGAGTGTTGCTGTGCAGAGGCTGAGGGCTGGAGATCCCCTTCTGGCATTCTGCTCCGGAATAAACGCCCCTGGCTTTTCTAAACACATCCACACTTCATTTCAAAGTGGAGCAGGCCTGGCTCCGACTTCTGGCCGCTGCTGCTTGTTATGCCTTCCCTGCCAACTCAAATAAGCAAACCTCCTGTTCTATTGGGTGTTTTGTTTTGGGGAGGGTGCTCAGCATCCCAGACCCCGCAGGAGCGGGCTGGATCTGTGCGAAGCAGGATGAGAGCAAACTCCCGTCGTGGGGCTGCGCAGCAGGACGGGGATGAACAAAACGCGCCACGTGTCGTGGCTCCCTGCAGATATCCCAGGGGATTCTGGAGCTGGAAACCATTCCCTCCCCGTGCTGCTGCCAGCACGGAGAGCCCTGGCTCTATAAACAGCTCCCAGCAATAATCAGGACACGTCTGGCACAGCTGGAATCGCAATAAACATCAAAGCCCTTCCACAAGGGCGAGCGCTGCCAAGGAGTTCATTGCGTGTTTGGGTGCAGAGGATTTACAGCTGGATTGTGCAGTCCTGGGTGGAGACCAGGAGCTGCCTGAGGGATTTACGATGGGAAATACGGCTTTGTGCTCGTGCTGTCATGGGAAAGTCCCAGTTAGGCACTGGAGCTGCAGGGCTGCAGAGGAGCACGTCGGGGCTGCCGCTGCATTTCCCGCTCGCTGCTTTCCGCTTCGTTTCTCCAACGGGCAAACGGGAGAATTTTGGATTTCTGGTTTTGGCAGTTGTTTTTTCTGTGGGGCTGCGTGTGTCTAGACTGACCTGGAGCCTTCTCTCGTGGCAGCTGAGGTATTCCCACCTCACCCCACTCACTCCTCAGCACAAAGAGGGTGATGTCAACCAAAAGACAGGTGAATTTTAGGTATTTATGCTTTGGTATTATTTTTGGCAATTGTAGACATTTAAAACATGGTTTTTCCAGCTGCTGACCAAAGAGAGGGAATACTTTAAACCCCCAAACTTCACCAGGGTCTCCTATAGAGACCTGAGGCAGCTGTTGGGAAGGTTTCAGCAGGGTTTAGATCAGGCTCATGACAGGTTTGTAGTGTCCAGCCTGTGTTCACAGAGAGCTGGGGTCACTGGGAAGGACCTCTGGCACCGGTGTGGAGTCACAGGGACTGCTCCTGTCCACTCAGAACTGCTGATGGGGAGGGAGCATCTATTCCCAGTGACAAGGAGCCCTGGACTCGTCCCTTCCCTGGCAGTTTTGGGGGATGTCCCACCTGCAGAGCCCACAGTGCTGACCCTCTGTGTCACCCTGTGCTTGAGAACACTTTCAGAAGAGAGATCCAGCAAGCTAAAAATAGGATTTGCAACTCAGATAGTGGCACTTCTGTCAGATGACCCAAGACAAAAAAATACCAACCACTTAACACAGGTGCAGCTGCTTCCTGGGTGAAACACACAGCACTGAGCAGCACTCAGGGCTTCCACAGGGAAAAAAATCCTCTCTTAGGAAACCTGGAAAGCAGAGAGTTCTGCCAAAGCCTAGGCCCTGTTTTATTAAGTGCCTGAATAAGGTGTCTCTGCCTTGAGGGTCTCACAGCAGAACAGGTGGGGTGGGAATTGTGGAGGAGAGAGAGGAAAAGTGTTGTTCTGCAGGGTGGATAACTGACAGCCCAAATTAGGGCCAGATCCACAGAAGTGCTCAAGTGCCTAATTCCCAAATGCTGGGGGGGGGGCTGGCAACTGGCTGCCAAGTTGTTCTGAATTGTAATGACTCAGTCAAAGTGTTATGGAAAGTTTAGAGAGCCGGGAATTAATCCCGGATCTCATCAGCAATTAAAATTAATCGTTGCCTTCCTCTGCCCGTCCTCAAGGACTGGGCCTGGGCATCCTCTCCAAGCACCACATTCCATGCTCCTCTCTGGTGAGCCAGTCTGGAATCAGATCTTAGTGGGAGGCAATTAAAACCCACTTGGATGTAGAAAACAACCCGGGAGACAAACAGCATGGGGAGGCTGTGGGCACGGGGCGGCTCTGCTGCGTCCTTGTGCTGCCCAGGGCTGCTTTGCCAAGGGAAAGGGCTTGTCCTGGAAGGAAAAGCAGCCTGGCTTTTCTCCTGGCTGCACCACCAGGCCGCTGCTCCATCACCCTCCCAGCTGCTCGCTGGTTCCAGTTTCCTCCTGAGCTGCTTATTGTAGAGCTCTTATTTATTTTATTTTATTATCTTATATTATTATCTTATCTTATTTTAGGTTTGCTCCTGCTGATGTGGCTCCTGTCCTTCTCCTGGCTGTGCTGCTCCTCAGCTTTGGAGCTGGGTCTGGGATTTTGGAGGGGAAGTCGCTCCATGCCCAGTGCAAATGAAAAATGGGAGCTTCACCAGTCCAGGCTCGATGGGACCTGCAGCCCAGCCTGTGCTTTTTGCCTACCTACAGTTTCTTAATAATACTATTTATTAGCAGAGCTCAAAGCACTTTACAGAGGAGACTCCAAGTTTCTTCCCAAATTGCTTACTCTTTCCAGTAATTCTGAGATTCCCCAGGTTTATTTGAGCGCTGCTCTATGGTGTTTATGAACCACCAGGCAGGAATGTGATCTGCTGGGACTGGTTCAGGAGATGAGGTGTGAAAGGGGCTGGTGGCTGAGGGATTTCTCATAATTCCTCTTCTTTCCACCTGCTTTTCTTGAGTGTCCTGGCTTGAGTGCCAGGGGAGCAGCTGAAGGTTAACCCTGCTTGGAAGAGTTCTCAGTCTCACAGAAGCAACAGCTACAGGCCAGGTAAAGCATCTTGGCCTGACAATTCATCTGAGTCCAGATTTTGGGTGAAAGACCCAAGTTTCACCCCCACATTTCCCAACTCTTCATCTATCCCCCACAGTGTGGGCAGCAGGGCAGGGGGGATTCTGGACCTCACCTGCAGAGCTGCCCTCCTTCAGCTTAAGGAGGTCCCCTTGTCCTGTCCCTCCAGCCCTTGTCCCCAGTCCCTCTCCAGCTCTCCTGGAGCCCCTCTGGGCACTGGCAGGGTCTCTGAGCTTTCCCTGGAGCTTCTCCTCTCCAGGTGAGCATCCCCAGCTCTCCCAGCCTGGCTCCACGGCAGAGCTGCTCCATCCCCCGGACCATCCTGGACTCAGATGGGAGCTGCTCCCTTGTTGAGGTGGTTGGGTGGTGCTGGGTGGGTTCCTCTGGGCACTGGAGCCAGGAGAGCTCCCAGCTGGGCTCTGCTGCTGCTGGAGAAGCCCCAGCTCCCTTTTCCAGCCTGGCTCCCCTGCAGGAGCGTTCCTGCCCTCGGGACACCTGTTGTTGACTCACCTATTGTAAACGGGACAGAATTCCTGGAAGCTGCTGCGCTCACCGAGGGGTTTCGGGTTACCGAAGGGAGCAGTTTGTTGTGCGAACAAACATTTCTAAAGCACCTCCTGCTTTCTCTTCCTTGTTCACCACCTCAGGGCTGGGCTGGCCTCGCCCTTGGCTGAGAAATTTGCTTGAGGATGGCCTGGTTTGAGGGTACAAGTCTGGAATCGGGGTGCCTGCCCTTCAGCTGCACCCTGTTTTTGATTGTATCAAAAATATATCTCAGAATACTCGTCTGGTTTTGAAATACCACATTTCTGGTGCCATTATCCATCCACAGGCTGTGGCACAGATAAGGAGAGCGATGGATGGAACAACAACAGTGGGAAATCCTGCTGGGTTTTCATCAGCTTTGAGGAGGAATTTTTTCAGTGGAAATCTTTTGTCTGGAAAACTCCTGCCCATTGTAATGGAAAGGGTCCATAGGAAGAGGTTTGTTTGGACAAATTTTCTGCTAAGTGTTTCTGGGGGGAGGAAAAACAAACTGGAAATGTTCCAGACCTTCTCACTTCAGCAATTTCAAAATAACAGTTTGAACCTCCCTTATCTGAATCTCCCTTCAGAAATAACCAGGAGAACGGAGAAGTTTAATTTAGGAAATGATAAATTAATAAAATAATTTGCACCAAGCAAAAGTGAGAAAGGCCTGTGTGGGACCAGGCAGGTGTTAGTGTCCAGCCAAAGCTGATTTTCTGTCTCATCAAGGTTATCTCCATCTCTCCAGGGCAGGGAGCCTCGTTCCAGAGCCCCTAATTCCCTTTTCCTGCTGCCGGGAAATCAGTGGCAGCACCGAGCCCCTGTCACTGAGCTGCTGCTTTGCCTTGTGCAGAAGCTTCCCCCAGGGGCCACACCACCTTAGAGACCTGCTGTCAAATTAAAAATGAAATTCAGAAGCCCTTTTTGGGCTGCTGGATCAGCAGGAGAGGGAGCCAGGACACTTTCCAGGGAAGGCTGGTTTGGTGGGAGAGGGGTGACGGTGCTGTCACCACGGAAGGGGACGGTCCCTGCCCCTGGTTTTAGACAGGTGGCTTTGAGAGGACAGAGTGATGCTGTTGGGACTGAAGGGTGGCATCCCATTCCAGCTGCTCCTGGAAGCTGGAATTCTGGGCAGCACCTCTGGGATTCCCACTGCATGGATCTTGGCATGGTGCAGCCCAGCCAGGGAAGGGCCTGACCCCCTCTGTGCCATTCCTGTCCCATAAAAGCCCTTCCACGTTCAAGGGGGAAAGCTGCGTTCTGGGTGGGCTTTAAGGAGCATCACAGGGTGGCCAAGGTGCTCAAAGGCCCTTGATGTGATCCTTGCTCTGATCCCAGGCACAAATTCCCCCTCTGCTGAAGGCAGCAGTGCTGCCCTCTAATAAAGAGACAAAATTTCCAATCCACGTGCTCTTATGTCTTGGAATTATACAGCTACAAACCGAATTGCTTTCTGTATTCTACAGAATGAGCTGATCTTTCCTTTCCAACACAAACCATTCTATGCCTTTTAAAAATCCCATTATTACCAGCACAGTGGCTGTAACCTGAGGCAACTTCTATGGTTTAATGATAAAACCTCGGAGTTGGAGACACATTATTTTATATTCCTTTGAATGTATTCCAGCTCCCAGCTACTACAGCTGTCAGCAAGGCAAAAGAGGCCTGACAATGCAGGGCAAAGCAACCTGTCATCCTTCAGAGCAGGAAACCAGCTCCTTCATCCCATACCTCGACTCACACAGGAGAGAGAAGTTAAAGCAGAATTACCCCAAAGCAGAATTATTACAGCAAGGACGAGATGTGCTCTGCACCAACCTTGCACGTGGGCTTTGTATTTGCATTAACGAGAGCAAAAAGTGCAAATAAAAAGTGTTTTTGAGGAAAACAATATCCTCCTGTACATTGAAACACCCCATCTTTACTCTTATTTGACAAAAGCCACTTACTCTGAACTCCTCAGCAGAAACACTCCTCTCATTAACCAGGAAACAAATCTTTCTATCCCAGCACTGAGCGAACCTGACAAAGCCACGTTTTCCCCAGCGAGCCGAGCTGCGAGGCTCAGCTTTCCCCAGGCTGTGCCCGGATCCCTCGGAGCCCCCCGAAGCCGGGACCCCCCCAGATCCCCCCGGATCCCCCCGGGTGTGGGGGCAGCTCACCTGGGAGCAGCAGGAGGAGCCCGAGCAGTGCCTGCACGGACGGGAGCAGCATCTCGGCGCTGCTCGGTGGCTCGCAGAGGCTCTGGCCATCCCGGGAGGGACCAGAGCGGCGATTCGCCTGCCTGGGCTGACTCTCACACGGCTTCCTGTTAAAGAATAGGAGGAAACGGGCTGAATCCACAGGGGAACTGTGTTTTTCTGCCCATTATGGCCGGGGAGGATGTGAGACATCGCTCGCCGGCGGCAGAGGAAACCTCGCCGGGCTTTGCTGGGGATTCGGCACCGAGGGATGCCCCGCTCTGGGCCTCAGCGGCTTCTTTACGGGGCTGGGGTTTTTGGGAGGGGTTTTGGGTGGGGTAGGATGTGCCCCAGGTCCCATCTCCCCCCACATCACCCTCCCTGGGGTAAGAGCGGCTGGAGGAGCCTCCCCGCCACCCGAGAAGGGATTTCTTACACATCCATGAGGAATTTAGGGATAACTGCTCCTTGTGGGGCCGGGCTAGCTGAGCAGCTGGACCTGCCTGTGCCCCGTGCCTCCCTGGGCAGCTCCAGCGAGTCTGGGAGCTGGGACATGCCAGCTTTGGGATGGGGGCTCTGGGATGGGGGATTTGGGATGGGGACTCTGGGATGGGGGCTCTGGGATGGGGGATTTGGGATGGGGGATCTGGGATGAGAGATTTGGGATGGGGGATTTGGGATGGGGGCTCTGGGATGGGGGCTCTGGGATGGGGGCTTTGGGATGGGGGCTCTGGGATGGGGGATTTGGGATGAGAGATTTGGGATGGGGGCTCTGGGATGAGAGATTTGGGATGGGGGATTTGGGATGGGGGCTCTGGGATGAGGGATTTGGGATGCTCCTCTTCAGGCAGCACAGCCTCCCTCCCTGCAGGACACACAGCACATGGTGGGCTTGGACCTGCCCCATCCCCAGTTCCTGAGGAAGGGGAGGAACTGGAAAACTGGGCTGGTGCTGCCCCAATCCAGCCCAAGGGGTTCAGGGATTTGGTTTCTTGGCCCTGAGCTCGTGTTGTGCTGGTCTGTGCAGGTCCTGCCTGTCCCAGTGTGAGCTCTGGAGGTTCTGACTGATCCTGTGCTGGATGCCAGTGGATGTTTGCAGAAGGAGAAGCATTTTAGTGTTTCCCCACCTAGGAGAGGCTCCTGTGTCCTTCCTGGGGGGGTCTGTGTGGGTGTTCAGGATGCAAGGCCAGAGGATTTTGTCTCCTGGTCTGAGGGGCTGGTCCAGCCCCCCAAAAGCCACAGAGCCTCAGCCAAAGGCAAAGGAGATTCTCCTTCACTGCATGGAGCACACTGAGGGTGTCCCATGCTGCCAGCAGGACCCTGGTTCCCACAGCTGGCAGACAGCAGCAGGACCAGAGGGAACCATCCCCCGGGCATGGCACAGCTCCTCACATTCCATGGGCCTCTTCCAACCCCTCCAACCCCCCAGGAAAACCAGCAGGCCCGAGGCTGGAGCCCTCCACAGCAGCCCTTGCTGGGACAAACCCCCTGCCAGCAGCCCCCCCATCCTTTTGTCCCTTGCACAGATGTGACGCTCAGAGATTATGCTGTAGATTAAGGTTTTACAGAATCCTGAAATGAGTGCAAATACCCAGAAGCTCACACGCAGTTAAATCTCTTCTGGATGCTCGGCTGGATGGTGGAAAAGGCTTTTCCCACCCTGCCCTCCCCACGTGCAAGAAGGACAGAGCCCAAATATTCACCCCAGCCTGTCTGCTGAGAGCCTGCAGGTAAGAGCAGTGGTGTTTTGGGGTGGAAGGATGGGAAGATGTGTTTTGTAATGGCTGAAACTCCGAGGGATCTGTATTTTCTGCTCTGTGATGTGCTGAAGGTCACTGCTGGGGCAGAGGGTGTGACACACAGCACCCCGGGGGGATGTACCTGTGTGCAGGGCGTGTCAGGGGAGGGATGTGCCAGCCCTGACCTGGCACTGTGACCCCCAGCAGCTCACCCAATCCTTTATTGCTGAAAAACCTCCAAAATCATTGAGTCCAACCACTGAACCGGGGGCCCAAAGCATCCAGAGCTCCCCGTGGACTCAGTCCTTAGGCAGAATCTCCTCCTGCAGCAGCGGGACCCCGGCAGGGACAGTCACCCCCGGGCTGTGCCACCCCTGGCGACAGGGCCCTTCCAGCCCGGAGCGGCAGCTCACGGGCACAAAGGGACTTTTCCTTCAGCACATTCCTTTTGCCCGCCCCGCCGGTGGCAGCGGGGAGGTTTCCCGCAGCCTGGGCGGGGAGGGATGGCGCCTGTCCCCGATCAAAGGGGCCCTTGTCCCGCAGCGGGGACAGCGGCGCTGATGTGGCAGCGGCGGGGGAGGGATGAGCGGGGCTCCCCCGAGTGCCCCGGGAGCCTCGGCGGGGCCGGGCCGGGCCGTGACGTGGCAACTTCCGAGGTGATTCCGGCTGCACCTTCCCCGTGGAGCCAGCCCGCAGCTCGTCCTGCTCGCCCCGCCGGCAGCTGCCCAGCGCCGGAGATGATGATTCGCAGGCAGCAGGGACGTGCAGGTACCCCATGGGGCTGGGAGGGCTCTCCTTCCTTCCTTCCTTCCATCCATCCATCCATCCATCCGTCCATCCTGCCTCCCCCGTGCTGGATCCCACGGGGTCTTGGCTCTGGCGAGGTGGGTCCCCCCGCGAGGTTCGGTCCTGGATCAGCACCGCGGGGCTGGGGCCGGACGGGGGAGGGCACAGGGGACACAAGGGCCAGGAGCAGCGTCCAAAGGCGCCCAGGACAAGGACAGGCAGGGCATTGCCTCATCCTACAAGCCCCAGACGTCACCGAAATTCATCCTGTGCTGCGAGCCCGAGGGAGGGGACACCCACGGGATCATCCCGCTGCAGGAGCGGGCAGGAGCTGCGGGCTGGAGATGAGGGCAGATGATGAGAGATGTCACCCTCACCGTGTCACCCTCTGCCCGGTGCTCACCCCCCGTGTCCCCGTGCCAGGTGACCCCGCGGAGCCATGAACGCCTCTCTGCCCGGCAGCCAGCTGAGACAGCCCGAAGCTCAGGACGTGGCCGCCTTCACTCCGGTCTCCATCGTCAAGAGCGTGACAAAGAAATCGGACGCGCTGCCCGTGATCTCGGCCATCGTGGTGGCGTTCGTGCTGCTGGCCGTGCTCATCGTCCTGGCGGTGCACTACGGGCCCCAGCTGCGCACCGTGCAGATCACGCTGTACCACGAGCCCATGCCCCAGCTCATGGACAGCGTGCTCCTCACCCACTGGAGACAGCTGGATTCCCACGGGAAGCTGCCAGGCCGGGATCTGCCCGGCGCGGACTCGGCTGGGGTGATCTGCCACTGCTCCTGCAGCCGTCACCTTCCCCTTGGGAGCGCTGAGCCCAATGTCATCGAGATCACCTACCTGTGACACGGCCCTGGGCCACCTGGGCACAAGGCACGCGGCCCTCGGGAAAGGCTGGGATGGGATGTTCGTGTATCCCGGGACTCGCTGCTGCCCACACACGGAGGCTGCACCTCCCCGGAGCCGTGTCTGGCCCCAGGAAAGCTCAGCCAGGAGGTTCAGGGTCACTGCTGTGTCCCTGGAAGCTGCATCACCCCAGAGCCGTGTCTGGCCCCAGGAAAGCTCAGCCAGGAGGTTCAGGACCCATCAGTGGCCCCCAAAAGTCCAGCCCAGGGGTGCCACTGTGCCCAGGCAGGAGCTGGGTCCCAGCCCTGGCTCTAGGGCTAGCTCAGCCTACCTGGGACAGCTTTAGCATCTCTTCTGCCCCGGTTTTACCTGCCCCACGCTGCCTGGGAGTGGCCAGCAGAGCTGCCTTGGTCCTTGCCACAGCTGCAGAGCTCTGGGGCTGTGCTCGGCCCCCAGCATTAGCTGGAAGTTGCATCACCTGGAATTGTTTTCCGGTGAAGATGTTTCCACACTCAGTGTCCTCGTGACACTGTTTCTATGGCACAGAGAAGCTTCCAGCCGCTCTTTGCCTCTCACCACAGCCCCTTTTCCCACAGTGGGGGGCTGGAACATCATCCTGCCCCTGCCAGCCCCCCCAGCCCCTCGGGCAAACAGCCAGAGAGGGGAGGAGAGGATGCAGCTCCTGGTTCTGTGTGGAACGGTGCCAGGGACGGGGGACAACGCGTCCTGTCCCCAGTGGAGGTGGGTGAGAGAGGAGCGGTGACACAGCAGAGGCCAGAGAGGTGATAATGGCACATCACAGCTGGCTGAACATCTGCAGGTGTTGGCACCAGAGGGGAAGCTCGTGTGACTCTGGGAAGTCACCTCTGTGCCAAGGGACAGGGAGACCTGAGGTCACCCTCACTGTGTCACCTTCAATGTGTCACCCTCACTGTGTCACCCTCACTGTGTCACCTTCAATGTGTCACCCCCACTGTGTCCCCTCCCTGTCCCCATCCCTGGCTGCTGTCCCTAGGAGGGAGCGATGCTGGGGTTGCCATCTCTGGTGCTGAGGTGGCACAGAGGGACCAGGGCAGGTGAAACCTGAGCCCTGCAGGATCCTGGGGGTGTCAGAGCACAGTCCCTGTTCAGCCCTGGGGTCTCTGCTGCTGGAGATCTCTTCAGTCCCAGTTTCTCCTCCCGTGGGGGACTGCAGGATCTGCAGTGCCTGGGGAGGGAGCAGCCTCTGAGATCCCCCAGGAGGATTTATTCTGCTGGACAGCCCCAGAAGTCAGGATACAGCTCCCACCTCTCCCAGTCTGGAAAAGCCAGGTCTGTGGCTGCCCTCAGGTCCTGGCACAGATCGCTGTGGGCACAGCTGGACAAGAGATGGGCTTTACCTGTTCCCGCAGGTGCTGGAGGGATTCTCGACATGGCAGATGCTTCAGGATCCCTCCTCTCACTTTTCCTGCCCTTTTCTTGCTTTAAAGCTGGGTAGTGGTTGGACTTGCTGAAAACTTTTTGTCTCCACAACAAAGATAATTTATATTACTTTTTTGGGACAGTTGTTTTCTGTTTTGAATTTGCTTCCATTTGTTTTCCAGGGCCGGTAGGGCATTATCAGCTCTCCCACACCCATGGTAGAGGAGATAAGGACTGTCATTTCCATTGAAAATTATGGAGTCCTGCTCCCCTTTCCTTTGTTTGAGTAAGTGCAAAGAGGCCTTTGTTTGCAAAGTGCA